CTAAACCATAATAGGACCTAATCTTACTTACAAGAAAGAACTCGGAGGGCATAATCAGAGTGGAAAGGCCCCATCTGTCAATACTACCACATTAGCAATACCTGAATTTTCAAGGGGATACATTCGAACCACAGCAACATATCTCTATGTTTGAATAGCTTGTGACCAACTTATTTGCCTATTTTTTGTCTTAATGGATGCACTGTCCCCAGTGTTTTAGTACAAATATTTGATATGGTTTTGCTGAAACTGGCTTCTGAAAACAGGCATCCAGTTTTCCCTTTCTTATCTCCATCTAGCATCACAACTGTACAACTGAAGGAAAAGAGCAAAGAAACTGAAAACAAAGGGATGTTTTCTTAACGAGACCATGTTTATATTGTTCACTAACAGGTTTATGTTTTTAAACATATTTATCAACCTACCTTTAAGGAAATGCTATTGAAGGTTGATTTAATGTGTAAACTTCCAAAACTGTGGTGCCCAGTTCTTTTGCCAAATGTTAGTCTACATGTCAGTGTGATCCTATCGTCTTCCAAAATCCCCACCTCATTTGGTGCACAAATGTAAGTCTACATGTTAGTGCGAAGAATATTTTGCCAATGTGGTTAACATTTATAATCAGCTGACTTTAAGTAAAAGAAACTACCATCGGGCTGGGCCTCTACCAGTTTAAGGACATAAAAGCAAAAACTGAGGTTTTTCAGAGAAGAAGGAAGTTTGCCTCATAATACGGAAATCCTATGTATAGATTTTAGGCTACAGACTACAATTTCAAGTGTTGCAGGAGTTTTCAGCTTTCTGGCCTTATGGGGTTTGGATTTTCCAATTCTCACAAGTGTACAAGCCAATTGCTCAAAATAAATCTCACTCTCTCTCCATATTTATATGTATATATACATACATATGAGACCATGTACAACTGGTCTCTCCCTCTCTCTCTCTCCCTCTCCCACCCCTTCTTCCTCTCTCTCTCTCTCCCTCCCTCTCTCTCTCCATATATATATGCACACTTATACTGTACTCACTAAAAATCAGTTTCTCTTCTGGCTTGGAGCACAGGAGAGTATTGTCAAAAGACTTCAACAACAATGGCACCTCTCCTGCCAACCACTGAAATTTTATACCAGGGGTTTCCTATATGAAGTTCTAGTCCAGTGTCTGGCCAACTTAAGTATTATCCTAACTTAATTCACACAAATATTAACTTTAGCAATACAGGGTCTGAGAAATTTGATCAAAATATTTTCTTCTGAGAAAGATGGGCCATGTTTACAGCCTGGTTGGGGCAGGAAGAAGTGTTTCAAAGTGAATGCAACTCAAAATAAGAGGTTGGTATGCCCTGTTTACATTGCCTTATTCATTAAGAAAGCTTTGACTTTTGGAAGTCAGTTTTATTGCTTGATGTAATGGAAAAAATAATGAGGATTATAAATTTTCTTTATGCTTATGTTTTTTAAAATCACTGCTGGTTTGTGAATATTTAAAAGGTTATAGCAAAGAAAAGAGATGTAGTTTATTTTAATTTAGGTAAATGGCTAACCCTGGGACAATTTGAAGAAATTTAAGATACTAAATGTCCCACAAAGGTCTATATATAAAAACCCAGTCTCAGCGTGGAGCTATTATTGAAAGTTGATGAACATTTTAGGAGGCTGGGCTGGGGATACAGCTCAGCGGCACGGTGCCTGCCTGGTAAGCATATGGTCCTGAGTTCGATTCCTGATGCAAAAAAAAAAAAAAAATCAAACAGAATGAAATCATATTTCTTACCTCAAACTGCATAATTTTTAGCGGGCGTGGTCTCGCATGCCTGTGATCCCAGCACTTGGGAAGGCTGAGGGAGGAGGACTGTTGCGAGTTCGAGACTAGCCTGGGCTACAAAGTGAACTCAAGGCCAGCCTGAACTGCACAGTGAGACCCTGTCTCAAAAAGACAAAAAAAAACAACAGAAATGGAGAGGCAGTTCTTGTCACGTCATCTCCATGCTTGAAAGTTATATATAGCAGGCACAGTTAGAAGCCTGCCCTAACCAAAGGTTAATCTTCTTTAGAGGAGGTGGGACTTAGTGGGACATCCTTAGCTCATTATGCCCTTAGAGCGAATTGTGGAATCCTCTTTCTCCCTTCTGAACTCTAAGTTGTGCGGTTTGCTTCACCATGTGCTCCCTACCATTCCCATCTACCAACCCCACCAAAGGGTTAATGTAATGAATCTACCTGATTTTGAACTGCATCCTCCAAAATTTTGAGACAAAATAGATCTTTTTTCATTATAAGTTGATTACCTCAGTATTTTATTATAATGAGGAACGGCTGACACAAAGCTAGTGAAGCATGCTTAAAATTAAAAAGTCAAAAAAAATTAGAATTAAAAAGTCTTAAGGCTGGCGTATGCCTATAATCCCAGAACTCTGGGAGGCTGAGGCAGGAGGATTACTGCATATTCGAGGCCAGTCTGGGCTACAAAGTAAGTTCAAGGCCAGCCTAAATTGCATACTAAAACCCTGTTTTAAAAAAAAGTCTAAAATCCCGCTTACTTGATTTCCAATAGCTGGGTGTGGTGGGGCACGCCTGTAATCCCAGCACTCAGGAGGCTGAGGCAGGAAGATCATTTCAAGTTCAAGACCAGCCTGGGCTACAGAGTGAGCTCAAGGCCAGCCTGAACTGCATAGCGAGACCCTGTCTCAAAAAGGCAAAAAAAAAGGGGCTGGGGATTTAGCTCAGCGGCAAAAAGTGCCTGCCTGGCAAGCGCAAGGTCGTGAGTTCAGTTCCCGGTACCGGAGAAAAAAAAGGCAAAAAAAAAAAGATTGACTTCCAATAACTCCCAATGGTTGTACACTCTCCCTCTAATGTTACATAACAGAACTCTCTAGATTCACTATAAAAGTGATGATTTTGTATTCAAACTAGACGTGGGTGGAGAAGATGGTATATGAGACTGCTCTGTTTTCAGTGCTAAACTTCTTTGAGCTAAAAGGAACAAAAGATTTTAAAGTTATACAGTTACTTAGTAAAAATATAATCTTGAAAGCTATTCATAGATATTGTTGATCAAATGACTTCTGTTCTCTATAATTTAGGGAAACAATCACAGGATGTGTATGATTACTAAGCTTCAACCCTATCATGGTGGCTTATTTTAAAAAGAAATCACTTGTATTGAAGCAAATTATCCATATTAATAGACAATATCTGTGAAAATACAAAGTTAGTTTGGAAAGAGAAATACAAATTAATATGTAATTTTATCAGCTGTGTTTCTTAACTGAGGAGGCTATAACAGAATACCAATAGGCTGAGATGCTTAAACAACAGAAATTTCTCACAGTTCTGGAGGCTGGGAAGTTGAAGATGAAGTTGCCAGCACATCACCAAAATCTGATGAGACTGCCTATCTTCTTGTAGCCTCTGGCAAAAAGTAGAGAAAGTGATCATATCTTTTGGTGTCTAGTCTTACAAGGGTTCCTAATCCTATTCATGAGGTGGAACTCTTATGACCTAATTACCTCCAGGAGACCCCACATCCAAACAGGATTAGGGATTTAGCCTTTGATATATGAATTTTTGGAACACACAATACTCATTCCAAAGCAACTCCCCTTCCTTCACCTCCAGAAGGAGAGGGTCCTGGCTTGCTGTATCAATTTTGTTTGTGTTATTTTGACTGAGGAGGAAAGAGAAGTAGACAGACAGGGATTTAAAAAAAGAAGACTAGGGCAAATTTTCAAAAGCACAAAAGCAGCCACTGCATGGGGCAGGAGTGAATGAATGAGAAAAGAAAGTGTTTAGAATATAATGCTTAGGACATACAGCATCTGTTTCACAGTGTTCAGGTATGATAATTTTTTGCATTATTTTTAAATTACTCTGGGGCTGAGGATTTAGCTCAGCGGCACAGAGACTACCCGGCAAGCGTGAGGTCGTGAGTTTGATTCCCGGTACACGAAAAAAAAAACAAATAAATAAGTAAATTAGGCTTCAGGTTTTCATCTGTGGTTTTTGTTTTGAATATGGTACTGCTGTATATGTGGACCACATGGGTTGCAGATTTATACTACAGACATTACACAAAATGTTAATCTCAAGCTTTTGAAATTTCTGGACAAACTTTAAAAAGCATTTGTGACTACCTACCTATTTTAGGAAACTGCAGAGTTGAACTTTTCCATGGGCCTTCCTCATTGTCATTCCTCCACTTAATGTTTTGTTTGTTTTGTTTTTTGGGTTTGTTTGTTTGTTTGTTTGTTTGTTTTGTCTTTCTGAGACAGGGTCTAGCTATGCAGTTCAGGCTGGCCTTGAGCTCACTTTGTAACCCAGGCTGGTCTCCAACTTGCAACAATCCTCCTGCCTGCCTCCCCAGTGCTGGGATTACAGGCATGTGTGCCACCATGCCTGGCTCAGAGTTAAAACTCTTTATCATTACAATAACTTTAATCCAATTGTCCTGAGTTTTAAATGAAAACACTCACATCTCCTAGAATAGTGCAAGTATAAATAAAAGTACCCTCTTTAAATTGGCCAGTTAGTAGCCCTACCTCTAGCACAGTATAATTTTGGGGTGGTGTGTTTATCATTGCTTAAATAAAGTATTGTTCTGAATTGTGAATAGCCTACAATTACCAACATCAGTAATGAAATTTTTAAATATTCATAAAACAACTGAAAACGCGCTCCCAGTCCTAGTAGACAGTAAGGAACCTGGTCTATATATAACTTTGAACATGCAGTTCCTAAGTAATTTGTCTTTAGGCTTCTTTTAATTAAAAAAAAAAAGTTGCATTCCTCTGGCCCGTTTGATGTATTAAAGTGCTTTCACAGAACTAATACTTTGGTGCCAACTCAGCATAAAAGGGTGGAAAGATTTTCCATCCTTTCTTTAGAGGTTAATGTCCCTTTTTCAAATTTGGATTTGGTCAGAGATTACATTTTGTATCAGGGAAGTCCTGGAGTAGAAGTGTCACACACATAGAAAGCCTGGGCTCTCGAGATTGCATTCACCTTGCCAACACCCCCGGGCTCGTCCTTCGGGCCGAACACCTTCGTCCCCGCCAGGTGGGGACGCGCGCAGGCGGCGGTCTGGGCTCCGAGGGGCCCCAGGCCCGGCCGGGACAGGGCACGGAAGCTACCTCGACTGCGGCGGGGCGGTTCCTCCGGCAGGAACCTCGACGATCCTCCGCGAACCCCACGCTTCCCTTGCCGTCTGCTCTCCCTTCCCCGCGAAGCCCTGGGCCGAGAACCAGGCGGGCGGCAGGGCGCGGGGTGCAAGGCGACGGAGGGGAGGCGGAGGCCGAAGAGCCCAGGGTACGAGCCCGCACGCCGCCAGCCGGGTCCCTTCAGCCCCCGGGCCTCGCCACGCAGGGAAGC